AATGACACTTCACTTAATCTCTGCCGGTGATGGAAATAATAGTAGCGTTTCATATGGGAACGTGGTAACGAATCATGATCCATTGATAATAAATGACGTCGTTTGAGTAAGGAGACGACTTCAGTTATCTGCTTGCCCTTCGAAAGCAAATATCCGCTTGTACATTCTAGTAATCATTTTGTTTCTGACTCTACCAAAATGCACTACCATAAACAGAACGCGCATTTATTACACAGAAAATTCTTGATCCTTAGAGTCAAGGCTACTATCCGAAGAGTCGTGAGTCGCTGCTTCCCGTTGAGAAGACTCAACACTACGCCGTACACACACATCATGATCCCGCTACCCAAATGTCTTCTGAACACTTACGTACCATCATCGAATTCTGTTAGTTCGTACTATTTTGGACCATTCTACGTTGAAAGTGACGAGTCGTTGAAAAACGTTAGGACTGTTTTTTACTTTCCTGTTTATTAGAGCAGTTCACATCCAAACAGCCCACACCTTGGATAGTGACACAAATGTTTTCACCCTCTCGAAACTCGGTGCTAAGTGGGGCTACCTAAAATATATGTTTAGCATCAACTGTTCAAATGATGCGAGTCTTAGACAGATTGTTCGTAGTTGTGACCACAATAATATATCGAATTCTCTTTTGAAAATAAGTTGTGAATGGCACTTTAAACTTCAGTGAGCTGGTCACCAAGGTGGTATGTGAGAACGCGTCATTAGGTCACTGAGAAGAATCTTAAGATCACCAATGTTTCGGAAGGTATTAACATATGATACTCTGGAGGCATCTTTATTAGAGGTTGAAGAAATATCGAACAATCTGTCACTCGTAAAGCTAGTTAATGACTGTGGTAATTCGGATGTATTCACACCAAGTAATTCGTTTTTAGTACATAAATGTGTATCTTTCGATGAACCTCAGGTTCGTACAACATTCCTATGTAATAGAAGGTGAGAGCAAGAGTCACGACTAGCCAGCCTATTCTGGAGTATATGAATGAAGGAGCACCGATTAACTCATCAGGTGAGATCCAGATGGTTGGACATGAGAATAAATCTACAGACAGATCTGTCTTTATTAAATAATACTTGCTTGCCGAGTAATCTTTGGTTGAAAGCTATAGTTAGATAGGTCAATTATAGTCCAGATGGATGAGTTATAACAGTTCGGCAGATAATGGTTTGTAGTCATTGTTTGTCTTAGTGCTTTCAAGGAAAGGCACCAATAAAATTTTTGCAGTAAACGTTCGATGCTTTTTACGCAGATTTGCATAAGTATTGGGCTGATGACGGGATATCTGTCAAATCCCATTGCTAAGTAATACCCAGACCGATTAAACTTTAAATAATTTGTCAAAGACTGTAGTAGTGTAGTATTCCCGGGATAAACTACCTGCTTATAACATAATGTCCCCTGATACATGAGTGGCTAGCTTTCAATGTGGAGCGGTGCGAAAATACGGATGATTACAAAAGGATTGCATCACAAACCTATATTGTGACTAGTCCGTGTTACCGATTCACTTTGTAGTACATTCTACTGGTCGGTTACGGTAAATCAGTTGTTCACCTCATAACTTTACTGCTTTCTGATACTAATCGCATCAATTTACACTTTAGAAACAGATCAAACCTGTTGGCTATATACATAGCAACCTGTATTTATAATAGCCCTGCTATTACCGTATGAGACAGCCTGAGGGCTTATCCAAGGAATTCATTTATACGAAAATTAAAACTAACACAACCCATCTATTGACGATTATTGTTCAATGGAGCTCCCCCATAAAAACAAGTCTTTCGTGTAACCAGTTGTCATAAAACCCGTCAAAATAAGTGATAATTGGAAAAAGTCGTGTTGTTCTGAATTGCCTATGTTTTTACTGACGGCTATTACTTCTGTTTGACCACTGCCCAGAAACATTGTATTTCGTAGCATTTTTGCGATAACCGAATATCTGCTTCAGTTAGTATACAATAATTAAAAGTGTGTAATTAATGTAGCCAGATCTTTTGCTAGTTAATAAAGTAAACAGTTCTTTTGAGTAATATGAATAATACTTCAAAACTGTATTCAACACTTAGTCTTTTCATTTTTATAAGACAAAATAATAAGGTTTTCCGTCATTATGATATATTATCCTTCCTGTCCAAATAAATTCATTCTTTACGAATGATTGATCACTGTGTGTTGATAAATATCATTTATGTCAGGTCCTACTTAATGCAGATTGAATACTATCGACAAAGTTGCAATGTGGCCACCAGTTTAGGTGACACAACATTCCATGCACCATGTTGAGACAAAATGGTGGTTGTAGGTAGTCAACAGGAAACCCTGACATGATCCTTTTTTGTGTATGTCACAAATAAATCGAGAATATGAAAAGATTTATTGCTTAAATTGATTAATGGAATAATCTTTGTGTTTTATTGAAATGGTTAACACAAATTTATTTTTTTTTATTTTATGGCTCTGGACTGTATAAGCAATGAAATTTTGTTAACAGATCTAAACAACGTGGATCATATCAAAAATGGACTCTGACAGTAATGACAATTTTAATTCATCAAAATAAATTCAGAATTTCAAATATTCATTAGTTGAAAAATAATATTAAACCAGAATATGAAAGAGGTTCGTAGAAGATTCATGGATTATCAAAATTCGAGGACTGATTATTCTTTACTTTCCATATTAGGAAAATATTTTAGGGTTTGGTTGATTTCGAAGAAAGACAAGTATAGATGATGCAATCACAATTATTCATAAATAAGTATGGGGGTTGTGGATATTGGTAAGTTTTGGATTGAGATCATGAACCGATTGATGTTAGATCACCGTTGGAGACCTGGTCGCGCAATTCTGTGGATTGGTTGATGTTAAACACTAACACCATTGGATGCTGGCTCAATGGTCCAGTAGGTTAAGCGTTCGCACGCGAAACTGAAGGCTCTGGATTCGAATCCCGCGAGAAAGACTGTGGATGTACACTGCTAAGCACTTCCACAATAGAACGAAACAGCCGTCCAATGCTTTCAGGTTTCCAACGGTGGTCTAACATCAATTGCTTCATGATCGCAATCATAAATGTCAGAATCAAGTATAATACTTCAGACTCAAATAAATCCATGAAAGGATCAAGTTAGTCGAATCTTTATGCCTAAACATAAAACAGTTGCTAACTTTTAATCTATTTTATATCAACATCCTATCTATGTTAATTGTAAATATTGAGTTTCCATTTTTCTAGTTTAGAATTTGATATACAATTTCAGTAAGATAGACATAATATCCATACTACAGTTTTCATATCATTATCTTATAATGAATTTATTAGATTTAATTCACTAAATTAACTTTACATAGTTACCTCAATTTCTTCCAGTTTTTTTTTTTGAAAAATTACTTGTCTACACTTTTACGATTATGACATTCCTTTTTTTTCCTAATGTGTGAATCCATGTAAATTTATTATATATTGATTTCCATCTCTATTTTATATTAAAATGAACCAATGGTAAGTGTCATTGTTTTATCCTAAAAAAAAGTTTCCTTTTTATTTGTTGTTGTTTTTTTCCTTTTCTTTTTACTAAGCGATCTAACCAAAATAGGAAACGAAATATCAGTAATATATAAATCATTCACGCTTTTGAATTCAATGAAAGTAGTTTAACTTTGAATCCTTTAAACTAAATAAGTTAAAAAAAGAAGAAAAGAAATATGGATTGATTGTTTCATAGTTTGATAGAAATATGTTGTAGATTTTATGGCTTAGTGATTGAATTGTCCAGTATTATTTTATTAGCTTTAGAGGTTTCTTTCTGTTTATGTTGTTTAATAATTTACACATAGTATACAGATTTTTTTAAATAATGTATCAGCTTTTTTATATCATAAATTGATATAAGATTGTATAATTTTACTTAGAAATGAAAAAAAGTATCCTGTGAATGAATAACAAAACACTGTATTTCTACAGAAAGTACTGTAAACGCCTTATTGAGTCACTTGAAAAGAAAATGAAGAACAACCAAACTAGAATGTACAATCTCTACCTTTCTAGCAATGTTAATAGAATTCTAGTTGTGTTCTTTATTATATTCAAGTAAATACTATATGTTTGACAGTAGTATCTGTGACACCGAAAACTTGTAACTCAAGACAATGTCTACAGTATCTTAGAATATATTGTCCTATATTGGCTGATATAAATGATTGTGTATATAGGATCAAATAGAAAAACGTTGAACCTTGGATAGAGGTATCACAAGCAAAAGCAAAAAAGTTTACAACCATGTGACTCAACAAATCAAAAGACGTTTTGAAACATGACCAATATTTCGACCAGTGACAAAAAATGATAAATAGTTATATAGTCAAGGATTCCGTAGATGACAAAATTATCAAAGTAATTTTTAAGTCACAGACTACATTTATTGGCAACAACAAATTATTTTGTGCTCTAATTGACTGAGGAATTCAATGAACAGGTTTCGCAGATGACATAGCCCTCTTAAGCCATACACACCAACAATTGCAAATAAAGACAACTAGTGTAGCAGCAGCCTCTTCATCATTAGGCCTCAACATACAAAATGAAGAAAGCTAGATCCTCAAATACAACACGGAGAACATCAACCCAATCACACTTGATGGAGAGGCTATGAAAGATGTGGAATCCTTCACGTACCTGGTAACATCATCGATGAACAAGGAGGTTTTGATGCAGACGTAAAGATGAGGATTGGTAAAGCAATAACAGCATTCCCAGAGTTGAAGAACATATGGAACTTAAAACAACTGTCAGTCAACATGAAACTCAGAATCTTTAATACGAACGCCAAAACAGTTTTACTAAAAATTGTAGAACTAACAAAACTATTATCAAAATGGTACAAGTATTTATAAACAATTGTGTACATAAGATGCTGAATGTCTGTTGGCCGGATACTGTCAGCAGCAGCCTACCGTGAGAGAGGACGAATCAACGTTCATCTGAAAAGGAAAAGACGTTGAAGATGGATAGGATATACATTACGGAAATCATCAAATTGCATTACGAGACAAGTGTTAATTTGGAATTCTGAAGTCCCGTAACTTTTCAACAATAAATATATGTATCTCTTACTAAGATTAATTATTTTATTGTATTTTTTATTATAATAAATTTCAAACGATATTTAAAAATTTACTGTTTAGCGTTTCAATTACAAAATATTTTCATAAGAACAAAAGATCAAAGAACTTTATCGTTAAGATATTTTCACAAAATTTATCCGTATTATTATTCACATAGATAATGTAATGATTAAGACAGTCGAATCTTCAATGAGGTAATATCAAATCAATCTTTGTATTTTATATCAAACAGTAATTGAAATTTCATATTCATTTTTCAAGAGATAAAAGAAACCTCATTAGAATTACATAATAATGAAGTGGATACGTTTTCTTCTTATCCATCTGATAAACTTCTAATCAATGGATCACATAAAAATCCTGCGGTACATGTATGATTGAAAGGACGTATCGTTTAATCACCACCATTTAAAGAAACTCGAAGAATAGACGTACAACCGGGATACTTCCAACTACATTGTTTCAACATAAACACATCCTTACAGATTTTAACGCGTCTAGCACTTTAAGAGTGTTTCTAAAGACCAAAAGTGGATTCCGAAATAAAATATAAATACTTCCAACTCTCATTGCGATTTTCTCCCATTCGCTGATAAGTGCAATGAGTACACGTTATCTGTATTCATATAATTCATGCTCCATTTACCTGTAGACAGTCATTAAAAGCATGTTCGAATTCCTATCAATGAAAAACCTCTGACCGAACAGTCGCTGTCGAAAAAGAAATTATAAGTCGATGGGAGCTGTATTTTAAATAATCGATACAATAGTATCATTATTAGCCATCAGTAAGATTTTATTTAGGTACAGAATAATAAAATAGTAAGCAATAATAGAAGTGAACCAATAATAAGAATTTTTGAAAATCATTCATTAAGCACAGATGCAAATATACTAGCAAAGAGAGGCGGGACACCATTTGTGGGACCAGTTCGTGGTATTCAAATATTGAATTCCCACAGCCACCCCAGTCCTTCAAGGTTGTGTAAACTAAGAAAAGGTAATTTTACCAGGGAGTAATTTCCAACTTATACTGTAATGACATATTACCACCAGTCACGAATGTTTTATATCTTTATGCGGAGACGGATAAATATAAGTCCAATATGTTTTACGCCTAGACGGTAGGAGATCGTTCTTGGTTACAGAAGGATATTGGGGTTCAGTACAGCCTACTACGTTGCGGATTTAGAAACAAAAACGATTGGACTTTCCTAATATGATCCCTTTTCTTCTAAATTAACAACAATTAATTATGCTCAACACATCAAACCTCGACGGCTAAGACAGAAAAAATATGGGATTGCGGGTAACCTAACAATTGTAGTATAACAAGCAACTCAAGAGAAATTCGTACCAAAGTTGTTACTGTAGTGGCAAACCATGACCTTCGAGCATGTAGCAATCCAGCAAATTAAAAAAACATGGGGACCAATCGGAGGAAAAAGGTCATGCGGAAAATCGAATTAGTAAACAGTATGCGAGTGGTTATCGTTCCGGAAGAGATCCTAGCCCGAATTAAATCTGATTATTCTTACGACCGACTGAACAGATTCCCAACCTTTTTCTTCTGAAAACGAGCAGAAACAAACTAGCGACTAAGGAAGGAATTAAATGACGTGAGCAGTGTTCTTTAATACCTAAAATGGCGAGACTCTAATTTACGAACAAGCCAATCAGAAGCAGTTTAGAGATTTCAAGGTTACTGCGCCAACTTCAGTGCTTAATGCTAACGTACGATCGGTTCACAGGGAATTTTGTACAAAACGTGATAACTGAGCGGTTATAATAAATAAAACGGCGAGACTATAATTTGTAGACGAATCAATCAGGTATAAGATAATAGATCTCGGATTTTGGAGCGAAAGCCTTCCATCCATTTGGCTAAATAAATTTCTGGCATTATAGCTGATGTCACTTCGTGATGAAAACCCCATATATAATTCCTAACTAAGGCAAATCACGACAAATATTGCGAACTGGATAATAAAAGCACCAGTAACACTGGCTGCAGCCAGGTACTACAATATATACGGATGTTTGGAGAGCGTGCACTCAACAACCGGAGGCCGACTATTCTGTAGCTGTATGGATGATTTCCTCCATTGCATGCATTACGATTTTAGAACCTCTGAACCTCTTTCTAATCTTGACAAATTTTTGAACCACGTATAAGGAGTGTATCCACTTTATTTCCTTGGTTTTGTATAACATATTTTTACTCTATACTGGCTGTTTATTGATTGGCTAATATTTCTCAAGGTCACTTAAAGATTCGTTCAAAGGTCGCCCATAAATTAGAGTCTAGCCCCTAAAATGCCAAGACGCTATTAAGCCAAATGGTTGGATGAATTCCGCACCAAATTTCAAGACCTGTTATCTTATATCTGATTGATTCGTCCATAAATTTTAATCGCGCCGGGAATTCTTATGGCTTTTGCTCCTCTCATACAAGCAGTTTAGAATCCACATTATCATACAGTAAGTTTAAGTATTTGAACACACGTACGGGACTTGTACTCCATAGGTTTAGATCTATTACTGTCTTTTCGCTCTTTTGAGTTAAAATGAACTAATCCTGAAAAAAATCCATAAATATGACTAAGAAACGTGAAACTGAATACTACTTGTACAAAAATCCCTCCTAACAAGATAACTCAAAGATTAAAAGAAAGGAGATGATTATTCGTTCACACTCATGGCTCCTGCAGCTGAGTTCCCGTGCGGTGATTTGTGTTTGACATTTACAGCGAGGTCAAGAGGACCTAATAACACTACTAACAGTCACTTCCGAGTGACTTGGTGTTCTGTAACGATTTAAATGACTGACCAGTTAGATTGTCAATAACTCTAGGATTTTTGGTTTCGTTCTCCATTTTCGCTCTTGTTACTCAAGATACTTGTGTAGCGAACGAAAACTTAGGTGGGGAAAACCAGTTTATTGATTAATACAAAATTACAGTGATTCGGTAAAACATGAAAACCATGCATTAAATACACCATTCGCACTGCTTCTTTGAGTTGGTCTCCACATGCTTCACTATTCCTCTAATTATGTTGTTACTTCGATTACTCTCCGATTACCTCCCTGTTATCTTGATTTCAATCTTCTGCTGTCAAGCATTCCACTTCCGATTGTTGTTACATACTAATTACAAATTTCAGCATAAGTAGCATACACCACATTTTTACCAACTCTAATAATTGAGTAAGCAAAGAAAACTGAGAACAAACTGATAGCTCCAACTGATAAACACATCAAACCCATGCCAAAAATTTTAGAGGTTGGAGATAAACGAGTCCGACCTAATTTCCCACTTATGGTTTCCAAGTTTGAAACTTGGAAATATGAGATATTCCAACAACTATAATGTCTCAGACGAATAATAGTACTGCACTGAATACTATCACAGGTTATACGTGCTTATAGGTAGATAGGCTGATTTCAGCATTTGAATTTACTCAGAACCTTCGATTAGTAAGCATTTAAATCATTCAACGTACTTTGCCCTTGTTAACACTTGCCCTATAATGAAATATTGATGTCATGTGATCTGCCAGAACAGCTTGGCATATCGCCGTTTTTGGCATAAAGGTTTTCATTCAGGTATGGACCATTTTTCTTAAGAGCTCATTACACATCGGAATTTACAGCCCAGTAAACCAAAATTTTATGTGTTAAAGTTGATACACACGTATTATATGAGTGAAACACACTGAACAATCTTTTTTACTCGACAAAGTTTAGTACTCAAAAATAAAAGTAGTGTGGTCGAGTATTTATAACTCATAGGATAATTTACTTATAAAATTAACTTACAGGTGTACAAAATAATCCAAATGAACGGGTTCAGTATTATTTCTATCTGGAATTATTTATATACGGGAAAATAAAATAAGACACTAGGTGGGATTTATAGTCTTCGTGTTAAGCGTTTTAACTGCGTTAATTAACATTTTGATTTCTAAAGTTTCCCGGCGAAGTTCTTCTGATACGGTTTGCCACTGATTTCCTTCGACATCTTCGGTGGTTCTAAGAAGGCTGACGGGAAGAGAGTTACGAATAGATGATTTATCTGTTTTCTTGCGCAACAGTATTTGTTTTTCCAATTTGTCACGACGGTTCTTGAGATTCGATAACCATTGCCTAAGGCCTTTGTGTAGACGATCACGAATTACGATAACTTCACTACGCATTGCGATTTCAGCTTTAGTAGGACCTTCGCCTAAAGCTAAACACAGAAGTAATTATAACCATATCAGTGGAAATCAATAATGAACACTTACAGGATAATACACGTTAAAACTAACTGAAATTGACGAGTTTTAGTTTTGAAGATATTTCACCACTATATATTAAAAATTGCAATAGATGGGACAAACTGATCTAAATGAACGATCATTTCGACTCATTAACTTCCATTCATTTAAACAGAAAATCAGGTAGTAAGCCACTCTTTCGGAGTTCAGAGAAATTCTACAGACGAGCCGAACAACCATGATAGTAGATGTGGGGTTTTTACATGAGCAGGTATCGTATACTAAAGCGCTTGTGCATTACTATACTTTAATTTTTAATCAAATGAGATGAGTGACTTTTCACGGGTCAATTTGTGATCCAACTAAAAAACAATAGACTGCATAGGTCAGTTAGCCCGATTACTGAAATATAATTAATTAAAGGAATACTATGATTTATATACACAAAGAAACATCAAAACGACACAGGATTTATTTATATCTGAAATGTAAAGCACTACAACTGATTGGATGTAATCACTTACATTAGCAAATTTCAATCCGAGTCTCGTAAAACAACTTTGTAAACTGTTTCACAGCAAATCATGTGAATCCTAACAAACATTAACAAGAAATATAGGTAATTTCATCCCTATAATTGCCTTTAACGCATTTATTGTACAGTTAGACATTTCCCTAAGAGAGTGTCATAACATGTAAGGTTCCTCGATATCTAGTATTTTATAATGATATTTCAAATCTCCTTATTTGATTTGTTGAGCCAACGCTGCTGTGTTGGTGAAATGTAGCAACTTGAGCTGATGCATACCTGTAGAAGATTCGACGTTGCTTAAAACTGACTGACTTGATCAGGATACCTGGTAATCGCTACATTCAGTTTTTATAGTGTTAAATATGCGTAAGCTTAAGCAAACATTCTTACATTTTGTTTTAAGATTTATAAGAATGTAACAGGAAGTTAAAGAACTATTTACTTACCGGCTAAACGAGTTGCTAAGTTAGCCATACGTTTATCCAACATACTTTGACGCTCGGCGATTACAGAGTGACGTTTTGCTAACTCCTCAGCTTTAGATTGTAAAGTTTGACGTTCAGATGTTAGCTTCATTGCTTCGGAATGTTGAGCTGAAATTATATCTTGTAACTGTCTAGAATGATGTTCAATCATTGAGCGAGCTTTCATTAGACGATCTAGAGGTCCTTTGCGCAGTATATCAGAGACCTAAAATAAATCAAACTACATAAGGTTACTGATTTCCAGTCATTCAAAATTTTGAAGTATGATAGCATATTTACGATTGCACTGAAAGTTATGATAATCATTTTAACTAGTCAGAAGTTAGAAATGTTAATGGTCCGCAATCAAACAATAAGTTCGGAATAGTAACCAACTTGTTCATTAGGTATATGCAGCGGTGTGAAGGCTAACGATACTAACCGGTTTCTTAAACCAAAGTAGGCAGAGTGGGCTTCGAACAAAAGTGGTAAGCACCGATCTAGACTATGATGTTCTGATTTGATCATTATATATGAAACTAACAACCAGACAAAATGAATTCAGAAACATTTCACGAGTGAGTAGTTAAAGTTTCAATGTCGGTGCAACTACAATCAGTAACAACTAATATTCAGCAACTGAATTATAAGATTCACGCATTACCTTAATGAAAAATTGAACCAGCTGTTGCTGGGTAAGATCGGGTTGTAAATTTAAACCGGTTATCATCGGAAAATGTGAATTGTCTCCCGATAACACTTGTTTTATTTGAGATGTGAAATGTGAACGGAGAGTTGAATTACAGGAATCATATTGATCAGTAGTTCTGAAATATAAAAAGGCAAAAGAATTTATCAACTTACATTGTACATCACACATATGATGAGGATGAAATAAGTTCAAAAAATGAATAAAAATAACTCCTAAATTATGCACTTGATTAAGGGGAGGTGACTGTCAATAGACAGCGCAGAGAAGTCCCACACAAAAACTAAACAAATCACCAGTCCTACCTGGTTCTTAATAATGTACTAAGCTTATATCACATAACGATGAAAACAAGTTTAAAAAAGTACACATCATAGTAATGTTACATACAAAATAGTACCTGAGAGAATGGAACGAAGACCTAATGGTTAAAACATTTGGCTTTTAAAAAGTAAATTGTACAATCAGACGCCACTACACCTTTAATCTTATTAGCTGGGTAGTAACAATGGTCCTCATTAGAACAGTGGGACTACGCAAAGTCGAATACATAAAAATGTACATGATAAGTACGAGTCCAGAAAATGAATATCTTTCAGTCAACATATTTATGAGAGTGAAGTTCGGCATACATGTAAGTTATTAAACAAGAACAAGTTCCTATACTAAGATTAGCATCAGCGTAGAGCTAACATTTTGACCTAGACCTTTTTCTATTAATAATTGCATGAATATTCAAACCGATTTTAAATAATGCTTTTTGAAGATACTTCATTGTGATGTACAACCACCTTTTGACTACTTAGATTGACATTTGAATCTTAAGATCATTCGTATTTTTATCTAAGTGTTTCGTTACTCTGTGATCTATTGTCCGAAAATCCAAGTTAACCAAGAGTCGTTAAAATATACGAATCTTTAACCTTCCTTCTCAAGGCTAACTATACAAACCAGAATCATACCAATGTATCTAATCCATTCATTTTTAAGGCAAAATCTGTAATTGTTGGGTCAATGGTTCAGGATGTTAATTACCAGATACATGATCGTACGTCAATCAAGGGAATAATCGAACAACGATGTTCAACTTCATTATTTATGACATGAATAAAAACCAGACTGTACAAAATGGATTCACTGTACTTATGCAAAAAAAATAATCAAAGAAAAATAGTGTTGTTCAGTTTCAGTCAACGTTTATATATTCCTGAATGAGATGAGGGTAGATCTTTATTCAGTAACCAGGAAAAGGTTGGGAACGCTTTGCTGAATCAGATTTCAAAAGAAACTTCCCAAACAGTCCTTGAAAAGTGACAGATTACATTTCATATCCTAAGTGAATAATTACCGATTTTGTTACGAATTTTAGTTGATGTCCGGAAGCTTCGAAGATATTACGATCACACATAAACTTAAAAATATCCTCGTTTTTTGTACCTGAAATAACCTTGAGAGTGAAGCCACTTCTCCTACTTTTCCACCTTTTGTTTCCCGATCAAATGTTAGAGATTTATGGAAAACTATGAAGGAGTTAGAAGTCCATATCAAATGTTCGAGCATCAGACTTGTCAAACGGTCGCCTATTACTACATCTGCTGTAAACTATAGAAATAAATAAATCATATTTTAAAGACAAGTTTGACCAGCTATAAAACTTTACAAAATCTTATCATAGTTATTTTTATCAAGGCTTATATTCAATGCAGTCATGATATGAGTATGAAGATAGATGAATTCAATAACCTTGAATCCAACCCAGTATAACGTTGTTTCATAGTATAACTTTCAGGTTTCCGTGTTAGACTGATGAAATGCACCAAACATGAATAATCAGTTATGCCGGCAGTTGAATCAATTGGTTGGATAGGTGCACGAATAAACAAAAGTGTGACACCTTTAGTTGATCGACAATCAGCTGATGTGGTTGTAGTTTTAGATTTCGGTTGACTTTTTGACAGGAAATTACATGATAGTTCAATGAAACCAGCTAGTCTAAACTTTCCCTCCATATCTTCATTCATCCCATCAGGGGAAGAGATTGTAATTTGGCCACAGACAAGGTGTTTTACACATGACTGCCAATCCCGAATCTCTGAAATAATAAAAAATTCAAAAATTTCCGACGAAAATAAACCATCAGAGAATGACCAATTTATGGTAAAGTCATAATCATCAAAAAAACTTGGTATCTCTACATAGTGATACATTTAATTTCTAGTAGATGAAGATCTACCAGTAAGTAATGAATTTCATTCAGATTGTGGGTTTGTGTGACACTATATCACTAGATGTTGATTTCATCTGGAAACCGACAATATTTGAAAATTTCAATGAACACCAGGAACCATTATACAACTTTTTTCGTCTTCTTCAATAATAGTCTATAATAAAATTTTCTAAAACTAAGGTAAGTAAATTCTCAGTATTATGATCAGCGTACTGTAGTTAATTTAAAGTTTACTAACTGATGTTTTTCTTTCAAATTCATTCAATTAGTAAAACATACTCGATCTATGATTTCATAGACAAGTATTTGTTTATTTTGAACTATGACATATGAATAAATTAGTTCAAATAAAAACAGACAGAACTCCGCCTGGAGTCCCTCCGGGGGCTACTGCCGATCCCAAGCCCGGATAAAGGAGGAGGGTTGGGCATGGGGTTAGCGTCCCCATCCCGTAGAAAACTAACTCGCTAAAAAAACACTAACCAGAAAAAATTATTCAAACCTTTTAACCTCTGCCCTGGGAGTCAGAAGGTCTTCATTTAGAAGAACTATGACGCCTCATGATGAAAGCCGAATTCCTTCGGAAGTTACGAGGCCGATACCCCTTCTGACAACCAGAGCGACCATTTATTTAGGTACATGGAATGTTCGTACAATGTGGGACACCGGGAGAGCCTTCCAAATTGCTGCAGAAATGAGAAGATATAACCTAGAGGTACTTGGGATCAGTGAAACACATTGGACGCAAGTTGGACAACAACGACTAACTTCAGGAGACCTTCTGTTATACTCCGGCCATGAAGAAGAAAATGCCCCACATACACAAGGAGTTGCATTGATGCTGTCCAAACAAGCGCAAAATGCCCTTATAGGATGGGAATCTCATGGACCAAGGATCATCAAAGCCTCGTTCAAAACAAAAAAGGAGGGCATTACAATGAATATTATCCAATGCTATGCGCCTACCAACGACTACAATGAAGACGCTAAAGATCAATTCTACAATTGGCTGCAGTCAATCGTCGAGAAGTGCCAAACAAAGAACCTGACCATTCTGATGGGAGATTTCAACGCCAAGGTTGGAACGGACAACACTGGATATGAAGACATCATGGGACGACATGGACTGGGAGAAAGAAACGAAAATGGTGAGAGATTTGCAAACCTATGTGTCTTCAATAAACTGGTCATAGGCGGCACCATATTGCCACATAAACGCATTCACAAAACCACATGGACTTCACCGGATCACACCACGCAAAGCCAAATCGACCATATTTGCATCAACAAAACGTTCAAGAGGACTATAGAGGACGTGAGAACTAAGAGAGGAGCCGATATAGCATCAGATCATCACTTGCTGGTAGCCAAGATGAAATCGAAACTCAAAACGCACTGGACAATGGGGCGAACAATATCACAAAAGTTCAATACGGCTTTTCTTCAGGATACTAACAAACTCAACAAATTCAAGATAGTCCTCAGCAACAAGTTCCAGGCCTTTCGTGATCTACTCAATGGAGAAGGAACTACTGTGGAGAGCAACTGGAAGGGGATCAAAGAGGCAGTCACTTCAACATGTCATGAGGTCCTGGGTCACAAGAAGCACCATCACAAGGAATGGATCACTGTTGAAAAACTGGATAAGATTCAAGAAAGGAGAAACAAGAAGGCAGCAATCAATACCAGTCGAATAAGAGCAGAAAAAGCCAAGGCACAAGCTGAATACACAGTAGTAAACAAACAAGTGAAGAAGAGCATCAGAACCGACAAACGTAAATATGTGGAAGATCTAGCAAAGACGGCGGAAAAGGCTGCAAGAGAAGGGAACATGAGACAACTGTATGACATAACAAAGAAACTCTCTGGAAATCGCCGCAAACCAGAACGACCAGTGAAAAGCAAGGAAGGCGAGGAAATCACTAACATTGAAGAGCGACAAAACAGGTGGGTAGAACACTTCAAAGAACTCTTGAATCGACCAGCTCCACTGAACCCACCCAACATCGAAGCAGCACCCATGGACCTCCCAATCAACGTTGGCCCACCAACAATTGAAGAAATCAGCATGGCCATCAGACAAATCAAGAGTGGCGAAGCAGCAGGACCAGACAACATTCCAGCAGAGGCACTAAAAGCAGACGTAGCGGCAACTGCAAGGATACTCCACATTCTCTTCAATAAGATTTGGGATGAGGAACAAGTACCAAAAGACTGGAAAGAAGGACTTCTGATCAAAATACCGAAGAAGGGCGATCTCAGCAACTGTGATAACTACAGAGGCATCACTCTTCTTTCAATACCGGGAAAAGTCTTCAACAGAGTATTGTTAAACAGGATGAAGGACTGCGTAGACGCCCAACTTCGTGACCAACAGGCAAGATTCCGTAAGGATAGATCGTGTACAGACCAAATCGCAACTCTACGGATCATTGTGGAACAATCAATTGAATGGAATTCATCACTCTACATCAACTTCATTGACTACGAAAAGGCATTTGATAGCGTGGACAGAACAACACTATGGAAACTTCTTCGACACTACGGCGTGCCTCAGAAGATAGTCAATATCATACAGAACTCATATGATGGATTACACTGCAAAATCGTGATTGAAGGACAGTTGACAAAGCCGTTCGAAGTGAAGACCGGTGTTAGGCAAGGTTGCCTACTCTCACTACGAAAGCAATCATCCAGAAAATACAGGTGTTTATTAACAGTTGTCTACGCAATGTACTTCAGATCCGTTGGCCGGACACTATTAGCAACAACGTACTGTGGGAGAGAACAAACCAGATCCCAGCGGAGGAAGAAATCAGGAAAAAGCGATGGAAGTGGATAGGACACACATTGAGGAAAGCACCCAACTGCGTCACAAGACAAGCCCTCACATGGAATCCTCAAGGCCAAAGAAAAAGAGGAAGACCAAAGAACACATTACGCCGAGAAATGGAAGTAGACATAAAGATGAAGAATTGGGTGGAATTAGAAAAGGAGGCCCAGGACAGAGTGGGTTGGAGAATGCTGGTCGGCGGCCTATGCTCCATTGGGAGTAACAGGCGTAAGTAAGTAAGTAAGTAAGTAAGTAAGTAAGTAAGTAAGTAAGTAAGTAAGTAAGTAAGTAAGTAAGTAAGTAAGTAAGTAAGTAAGTAAGTAAGTAAGTAAGTAAGTAAGTAAGTAAGTAAGTAAGTAAGTAAGTAAGTAAGTAAGTAAGTAAGTAAGTAAGTAAGTAAGTAAGTAAGTAAGTAAGTAAGTAAGTAAGTAAGTAAGTAAGTAAGTAAGTAAGTAAGTAAGTAAGTAAGTAAGTAAGTAAGTAAGTAAGTAAGTAAGTAAGTAAGTAAGTAAGTAAGTAAGTAAGTAAGTAAGTAAGTAAGTAAGTAAGTAAGTAAGTAAGTAAGTAAGTAAGTAAGTAAGTAAGTAAGTAAGTAAGTAAGTAAGTAAGTAAGTAAGTAAGTAAGTAAGTAAGTAAGTAAGTAAGTAAGTAAGTAAGTAAGTAAGTAAGTAAGTAAGTAAGTAAGTAAGTAAGTAAGTAAGTAAGTAAGTAAGTAAGTAAGTAAGTAAGTAAGTAAGTAAGTAAGTAAGTAAGTAAGTAAGTAAGTAAGTAAGTAAGTAAGTAAGTAAGTCCTGCTTCGGTTTGGGCACCCGGGCAGTATCACAGCCCACACACAAACGATGAACCCTATGACTATGGCAACGAATTTTCTCGCTCCGATATATAATCAATCGATTCCAATAATTATTACCATTATTGTCATTATTATTATTATTATTATTATTATTATTATTATTATTAGTACCATTATTGTCACTATTATTATTATTATTATTATTATTATTATTATTATTATTTTCCACATTGTTCTCCCTCTTTTATACTTATACAGCGGCTCGTCTTTGGTGGAAATTCGACTGTATCTAAACGTTCTCGAGTCACTGTCCGGTTGAATATTGTATGTTACCACCGACTACGAGAACTGAAGCAGTTTTTCTGAAACCACGTGCACCATTCAAACTGGCTGCCTTCAACGTTCGCACGCTAGTGCAGGTCGGACAACAGATAGGGCTGGCTATGTCTTTGGAAAGTCTCAATATTGATGTTTGTTGTCTATCCGAGACCCGTATTCAAGACTCTGGTGAAGTACTACAAATTCGATCTCCATCTGTCGCTTCGAAAAGCTTGTTTCACGTGCGCTTATCCGGGGACCCTGTGGCATCTTCGTCTGGTCTTGCTGGCGTTGGTGTCGCACTAAGCGCTAGAGCTGAGGCAGCACTAGTTGATTGGATCCCCATTAACAGTCGGCTATGTGCTGTTAGATTAGAAAGTTCCATCAAAGTGAGAAGAAATCGGCGTGAGAAACGATGTCTTTTCGTCATATCCGCCTATGCCCCGACAGATTGCAGCCCGGATGCAATCAAGGATGAGTTTTACCACCAGTTATCCGTTCTTCTCCAGAAAGTGCGTTCGACAGATATTGTAGTACTAGCTGGAGACTTGAATGCTCAGGTCGGGCGTCTAGGCACAGAAGAGAGTCGTTTAGGTGGCCGATGGGGACTCGTTGGTCGCAGGTCAGATAACGGGGACCGTCTACTGCAACTGTGCACAGACCACAACCTGTTTCTGGCTAGCACTAACTTTCGGCACAGTCATCGCCGATGTGCCACCTGGCGTCCTCCCTCTGCATCCCAAGCCTGGACTCAGATTGATCACATCGCGATCAGCTTCCGCTGGCGTGGTTGTGTAAAAGACTGCCGCTCCTTTTGGAGTACCTATCTGGACTCTGACCATGCCTTGGTCTGCGCCAATCTTGCCTTACTTTTCAGTGGACAACGAAGTGACCGCCACCAACGGATTGATGTTAGCAAGCTGGTTGCAACTTCTGTTGCAAACAACTATCGAACCGAGTTAGCCTCTAGGCTAGCTACCACTCCACCGAAAAGTATAGATGAGCATTGGTTGCAATTGCTTGACGCCATGAAAATGGCGGGAACAGTCAGTTGTGGGTTTGCGAAACGTCCCGCTTTTAAGCACTGGGTTTCTTCTGGTTCCTTACAACTCATTGAAGCCCGTCGGTCTACTCCGGGTGACCGTGAGTTTGACCATAAACGAAGGATGTTACGTAGGGAAATTGGGCAAAGCTTGCGTAAGGACCGAGAAGCCTGGTGGTCGGAGCGTGCTAATGAGCTGGAAGCAGCAGCTGCATCTGGTAACTACCGGAAGCTCTTCCAGCTCATCCGAGCCACTGGCAGCAAGAAGTCTGGTGTGAGTGAAACAATCTGCGAGGATGATGGGATGCCAATCACTAACATCCATCGACGTCTTGGACGATGGGCAGAATTTTTCGAAGGGCAGTTCAACTGGCCTGCTGCTCCGGCAACATCGGTCAGGCTGTCCTGCCCTCCATGGCCGGTGACGACTGATCCACCAAACGAGGAGGAAGTCCGCAAGGAACTCCAACTCTTAAAGCGTTACAAATCACCTGGCCCAGATGACTTACCTCCGGCTCTTTTTAAAGATGGTGGTGACTTTTTGACTAAGGAATTGACGACGTTGTTTACAAAGGTTTGGGAACTAGAGTGTGTACCAACGTCATGGAATGAGTCGATAGTTGTCCCTATCTTTAAAAAGGGTTCACGTCGTTCCTGTAACAACTATCGGGGGATAAGTCTACTTCCGATTGCGTCCAAGCTATTGGCTTCCGTCATACTTCGTAGGTTGTTCAAAACTCGGGAAAGATTGACTCGCGAGGAGCAGGCTGGGTTTCGTTCTGGTCGAGGATGTATTGATCATATCTTCACCCTCCGCCAAATGTTAGAACATCGCCATACTTATCAAAGGCCAACAATCGTAGTGTTTCTTGACATCAGGGCTGCCTTCGATTCGTTGGACAGAACTGTTCTCTGGGATTGTCTATTGAAGAAGGGTGTGCCTGAGAAGTTTATTAACATCCTAAAAGCCCTATATAAAAACACCTCAGGCAGAGTGAGGGCATACAACCACTACTCTCCATTGTTCCATTCGAGTAGTGGGGTTAGGCAGGGTTGCCCAATCTCACCATTCCTCTTCAACTTTGCCATCGATGACATTCTGGAAACAGCTCTGATGAATGTAAGTAATGGTGGTGTGGATCTGTTACCTGGAGAAAGACTTCTCGACCTTGAGTATGCGGACGATATTGTCTTACTGTGCGATAATGCCCAAGGCATGCAATCCGCACTTAATCAGTTGGCAATCAGTGTCCGTAGGTATGGTATGTGTTTTGCACCTTCGAAGTGCAAAGTACTTCTACAAGACTGGCAGGATTCCAATCCTGTACTCACCCTAGATGGTGAGCAGATAGAAGTAGTCGAGAAGTTCGTGTATCTGGGTAGTTGCATAAGTGCTGGTGGGGGTGTGAGTGATGAGATCAATGCACGTATAGTGAAAGCCAGAGTGGCTTATGCCAATCTGGGCCATCTTTGGCGCCTTCGTGATGTTAGTCTGGCTGTAAAAGGTCGGATCTACAACGCGTCGGTGAGAGCAGTTTTGCTCTATGGTTGTGAAACCTGGCCTCTCCGAGTTGAGGACGTTAGACGACTCTCTGTGTTCGATCATCGCTGTCTCCGAAGGATTGCTGATATTCAGTGGCAACACCATGTCAGTAATGCAGAGGTTCGGCATCATGTGTTTGGGCACAGAGATGATAATTCAATTGGTGTCACCATCTTGAAACACCGACTTCGGTGGCTTGGACATGTTCTACGAATGTCGTCCCAGAGAATTCCACGTCGTGCATTATTTGCCGACTCTGGGACTGGTTGGAAAAAGCGGAGAGGTGGTCAGTGCATGACATGGTGTCGTGGTATGAAAGAAAGCTGCAGAGGACTGGCTTGTGTTGGTCCTTCACGACTCCCTGGTTGGGGTCTGAGAGATAGTGCTACACAGTGGCTAGAGACGTTATCAGATATGGCTCAGAATAGAAGCCAGTGGCGATCCTGCTGTAACCTTCTTTTACTTTCTTCATAAAAAGTGGTTGTGTCTCCCTCGCTTGAAAGATTTCTTCTGATTGTACTTTTCCGTTCCACTGTTACGACCACACTAAATTACACCAATCTCTTCGTTATCGTTCTCTTTTTCTTTTGTGCTCCTTAGTTTTTTTTTTTTCTATCTCTTCGAAGTTACATTGTTTTGTGTGGCGCATATATATTGGCGCTCTCTTGTACCAATATTTATGTGTTAAAATAAAATAAATAAATAATAAGTAAGTAAGTAAGTAAGTAAGTAAGTAAGTAAGTAAGTAAGTAAGTAAGTAAGTAAGTAAGTAAGTAAAAGCAGACAGATATATCTGATTTTAAGAACATTATAGAGTGAAAGTAAGCATAATGTTATATTAAAAGAATGTTGGAATTGAAAAAAAAGCAGACCAAAGGTTAATAACTTCATCGACTACTTCCATGTCCCCAGATAATTAGTCTAATATAGTTTTAAACCATCTAGAAATACACGTTGGTGCGGTGGCTAGTATTAAATATCGTAGGCTGAATTAATTGATATTTCTTTATCATAAAAAATTATTATATTTAATAATTATTTAACAATGTGTGATAATTACCTTCAATAAGAGATTTATTAGAATCATTTAACAGTTGACTGTTAAATTCACTACACCATAGTGAAAGATTCTCAATCCATGACAGACTAACAAGATGAATGCCCATATGATGAATTACATAATATCCTTGATGTGAATATTTCAAGCCGAAAATTCTATTTTTAACAAAATCTGAACCATCTATTGAATAACTATTATATTCAATATGGTCCAAAAAATTTAGATTGGCTGGTTCTAATGACAACGGTGGAGATTCAAAATGATTGTAATCAGAATGATTTGAAGAATGAAGTATACTACCGTTTGGATGACACTGTTGCACAGTTGTTCTATTACTAGACATTAAATCAAGATCCACAATATCAACGAGACAGAGTAAAACTGGAGGGGTTGTAGTTTGATTTTCTGAAAGAATAAAACAGAATGTTTTATTTTTGTTCTAATAAAGACTAAAGACTTGGTAAGTTAGAGAAAACATATTAAAGTGACAATAATCATTATGAAATAAATTTCTCGAAAATTTCCACAATATAAAAGTAAATTAATGCAAATCGTGTTTAGAAAAACATCCAGGTATCGATCTATGTACCTGTTGTTTACATCACATTAGCACAGAGAGAGAAAATTAACGAAGATGATAATTAAAAGATACAAAATAAAATTTTTAATAATAGTAAAACTAAATATGTAGATGTTATGATTTCTCTTATTACGACCCAGCTATTTCGATTGCATAGTATTCTTGGACACCAGATTCACTTGACAAGTCCCTAAATCAGAACCTAATTGAGGAGGAACGGAATTATATCCCAAATAACAAGGGTAGATGGAAGTAAGAAGCACCATAAGAAAAGCGTTGGTATATTTACAGTTTCTACATGAGAAGATTCTAGAGTTTCGTACAAGTATCTATTAGCGCTGATTGGATAAAAAATAGCCAATCAACATGCAGCAATACAATCTTGCACGGAACATGCTTTAACCCAATCTATATTCCGCTAACAATACAGAATATGAATTGAAAAAGTATGGAATAATATTAAGACTAAATATTTAGAGCAAGATAACGAATGAATGCAATTATGGAACGGTGACCGATTTTGGGTCGTTATCATGTAACGTCAGTGACCATAGAATACTATGATTTCAACGTCTACGTTGTTACTGGCTGACTGATGATTCCACCGATCAGGAAATCTGGATTAGTAGTTAAATCATCCGGTTTCCGGACAATATATTAAAGGTCAGAACACAGTTTCACGTAATTCGGTTCGAGTAGTCAGGTAACGTTACGCTAGCCTTCGTACAAACAATGCAGCTGAAAGCCGGGGTAAGCAAACCTGTACTTGATAACTTGTTACAAGAAGAGACAGTTAACGGTCATATCAAGTGGTGATTTCCCTTTACAACTAATGAATCCAAGTTACAAAAACGTAGTAACTTTAATTTAGATTCAATGGCTAAGCAGTAATCCCCAAATTGAAATATATCTACATCCTTGATTTGAGTCCAAATATAGTAAGAAGCATAACCAAGTCATGAGTCTCATATGTCTAAAGAAAATGCCTAACAATATAAATGTCACGAGAAAAATTCTATAAAAAGCCTAAAATTGGTCACTACGAATAGGAAAAAACTCCATAACGACATTTTGACTAATGTGACTTCAAACTTAAAATCATGTAGTTCAAAATTACCACTAATCCAATGAATGAACTTATTGCCTATTTTATTCAGTAATTATGTACCATTAACTAACTTTTGCCTCTATTTAATTAGATTTCCGTGAATTTCTGGTTTTTATATCTGGTATTTTCGCTTAGTCATTAACAATTAGAGTTCAGAACCAATTCAGTAGCTTGCTAAGTTCTAAATTATTCTATTCAATTACAATAGTAAGTAATTTCAGTTATTTACACAAAGACATGTGCTAAAAGATTGAAAGTATGGGCTATAGGTACATTATCATCAGTTCACAACAACAACATAAAAACTATGGAAAGTAGTTTTAACTGTCCGACTAATTCAGTAGTATGATTTTTAGTTCATGAATACGGTTCATTTAGACTACTATATTCACAAATGAATTAGTTATAACTGGACCAATCGACTTTCTCCTTACAAATCATTGAAGTTGAATTTAATCAAGTAAAAACAATTCTTAATGATATACTCACGAAAAAGTATGTTCACTTTACTGTCTAGTGACTAAGAGAAAGGTATTGAATTCAAAAGTGATAATGAAACGTTTAACTGCATGTAAATCCAAAGTGAAAAAAGTATATTAAGACAGTCAACAACTTCACAACCAGTCCACCAACATAACTAAATCTTTAAAAATAAACTCACTGTTTTTATTCTGTCCAGGTATATTGGCTCGCAGAACAATACCATTATGCAAACGACCAATTTTATCAGCTAACACTAATATATCAGGAGGTTTTTCAAATGAAAACATTTCTGAACTGTCAATAGGACGAATGCAATGAATAGCACAGAATTCATCTCCATAATTATCAATTGATGGTGGGAAAATGTGCAAAACATTACATTTTAGCTGATTCATTTTACGAACGGACAAGCATCCACATACTTGAATAACATCACCTATATAAATCAATGAAAACTTAGTGTTATTAATTGTTTACATTATTTTGAATATACAATTTCGTTTATTTTTTCCTCAATGTTTATCAAGATATACTCAAAGAGAATCTTTGTGAATATTTTTGTTATTATTATTACTACTATTAAAAATAACTATTTATAGAAAAGCCGAGTGAACAGCGGTTAAAGATTCAGTAACTTAGTGACTATTACTCAGTAAAAATAACCTTTATGTTTTAATGGATACTCTTCTACTGTGAATAAATTGGTGTGCAGAAAAAAACTATACTACACAGAAAATTGCCAAAAATACATTGGTTTTGAAGAAGAATACACAGATTTACCAGGGGTGATATTTTTATTCGGCTTAACTTTTAACTTGCATGTTATACTAAATATTATAAGAGCAGTTTTCGAGACATTCTAATTAGGTTGAAAACTATGTCAAAACGTTTTGGTTAGAGTTAAAAGATAACATTGTTAAAATGTACAACTTTGACTGAACAAAATAGCGCTTGTGACTTCAGGCAATATCGAGGCAATCCATAAAGGATGCAAATATGGCGATAAGGGACTAATCATTTGCAGTTTTAAAAAATCAGGGGGGATTCAAGCAACCAATACATGATAAATTAGACTAAACATATTTTATAATAAAAGGGAAAAATCAGTGTAAAAACTCAAGAAGGGATTTGAATAAAATAGGAAAACCAGATATGTATGTGGGAAAACACTTTGTCGTTAATGTCCACATGACATCTACAATCGTTTATGTCTTTGAACATAAATATTGGTACAGAGGGGTACCAAATACATATGAACCACACAATGACAATGAGACTGTGAAGAGATAGAGAATGTAAAGTGTGTATAAGAAAAAGAACAACAATCAACAGAAATGAGTGTATGAGAGTGAAATAATAATAATGGTAGAGGCAGTTCAGTTAGCAAAAATACAACCATAAATAATTCTTTCAGTTAAAAATGTTACGTTCATTTTTTATGAAGTAAAATAAAGTTACAACAGGATCGCCACTGGCCTTTACCATGAGCCATGTCTGATAACGTCTCAAGACATTGTGTTGCATCATCTCCTGGACCCCAGCCAGGGAGTCATGAAGAACCAACAGAAGACGGTCCTGTACAGCTTTCTTTCATACCACGACACCACGTCATACACTGACCACCTATCCACTTTTCACTTATCAACCCTGACTATCTTTATATGAGCGTATGTGTGTGTACATCTTATCCTACTCATCACGTGTCTGTAGCTTACTTTTGTGTGACTACAGATATCGATTAGAGCCTGATTTAATCAAGCGTTAATCGATTTTTCGTAGTCATACAAAAGTAAGCTACAGATATATGATGAGTAGGATAAAATGTACACACACATACGCTCATATAAAGATAGTCAGGGTTGATAAGTGAACAATTAACAGGGTCAAAACGTGACTCAAGAAGAATGGATAAATTGGCCTATCCAGAAGCTGATGAAAGTTATTTGGGCTTAACATAGTAACCGATAATAAAGTATACGTGGTTTCAGAAAGACTTTTTCAGCATTCGTAGTCGGTGGTAGCATTTAACTTTCGACCAGTCAGTGACTCGAGATCCTTTAGATAGGACAGGACTCCTTTGACAATGTCTTAAGTGCATAAAGCGATCCCGGACCAACCCATATTTGTGCTAGGTCTTATTTTGACAATGATTAAGTGACTGACATGATAATTTGGTGTTACTTCATTCGTAACTGCTTCTTTATTTTTTTGTACAATGAAGTAATGTGAAATAATTTGAAAAGTACTGAACATCTGAGCAAGGCTCGTAAATGATCTAAGTAAAGTTTAATTAGGACAGTACGTCCCGTTTTGTTCCGAAACACTGAATCGGGTTGGTGGATCAATCTAAAAACACAATGGCTACTAAAGGTATCATCAAATTTTACGCCCAATGTTTGGTAAATCGATAAGTTTGTGAACGTTTAGTATCAAGCTTTTCATAAATTAGTAGCACCAACTGCCTTTCGAAAAAGAATCGGACAAGTCGCGAATATATACTTAAAAGGTGATATTTCTTTAAAATTATCGAGCCCTAGTTTCAACAACTGAGAAGTCAGAATACGACGAACGTGATATGAACCGACAAAACAGTAAACCTTCTTACCTGTTTCGTAAAGAAGGAACAAACAGCAATCTTGTAATTGAGCTTCCGATAAACCGCGTTTTGATATAAATAGTGGGGAACCGAAATCAAAGTCGACACACTTGCTGCCTAAAGCAAAACTGAGATTCATTTTCGCATTGGACACTGATGAACTGTTATCATCGTTTTCATTGCAAGAACTCTCATCCGAATCATTCATATCCTGGTAGGTAGCATCAAGAGCGCTATGAGTAAATACTGAAAGATCTGCTTCAAGCCATAAATTGAATCGAATGCTTTGATTTTCTGAGGACTTTACACAATGAATGTAATATATAAAGGAATTTTCGGTTACAATAACCAATGTTCTGTTAGATTTTGGATGCCACCGCACCTTTACTATAACGTCATTTAATTTTGATTTGGAGGAAAGGTCTCTAAGATCAATAGCACAGTATATTGGACGAACAATTTGGTCCTAGAAAAATAGTAAAATAGTGAGGGTGGGATACTTCTATTTTAAATACTATAGACATGCTTTCCGTGGTAAAAGTTTAGTTTGACATGATAGAGATAAATATTCTACTCGGAGATCTTATAGAATTTAAGCACACAAACGACAGACTTGTCAGATGTTGAAAGAGCTTTCCATTATAAAAATCAAGTGACTGGAAGAAGGCTGCTAGAGTTTAGTGTTATTTATTGATTTTTAATTGTTTTGTAGACGATATTAGTTCGTGAAAAAACTAACCTATATCTGAAAATTGCTTTGCACGCTCGGAGCACAAATTACTAAGTAATAAGCATTGTAACATCTAAGTCATATTATAGCTAGTGACCTGAAGGTGAAAAATGAATTCCTATCAATAATTCTGCAACAAAGCATGAATAAACCGTGTTGATTAATAAAAGGGAGTTGTTTTCGTAAATGAACGATGAGAATTGCTACTAGTTAACAAGAACTGATCGGAAAATGTATTATATATAAATTTGCATATTATTGGTTTAGAAAACAATCCCAAGTTAACAAGGTGATGTGGTTTACATCAGCCAGAGCGTAGAAATTTGCTACTTATATAATTCCTAATGGGCCGTACACATAAGCACGCAGAAATACATATAGATTTTATATCTCCATCTGCAACAGTTGTAATGAGTACCAGAATGATAGGAGTTACAACTCTTTAAACCACCGACTGACTGCATTTTGAGAAAGATTGACATGAACTTATCCTATTTTGAAGAGGAAGATTTGCCATACAATTAATTTTTTGATGATTTGTAATGGCAACAGCAGGTCTGTCCAGTGTTCCTGTATGAAAATTTAATTGCTCAGATTTCTAACTTTGGTTATGATAGTAATAACCTAGGTTTCTAGTCATCCCGAGTCGATTAACGTAATTCGCAACAATAGGTATACGCTCAAGACCTGAATGGAATATTTACCTTCAAACATTGGCGTTAATAAATGTTATTCAAAAGAACAAGAGCACACCATCTCTAGACTTGACCTTATTCAAATGCTTACAGGGAACGGAGTTTAAGAGAGATGCAATGATACAAAACAACGGAAGCAACTGATAATCCAGGTCATTACAGTATCTTGTGAAATATTTGACCGGACAAGTCAGTATTTTATTTTAACACATAGATATTGGTACAAGGGGGCACCAAATACATATGCGCCACACAAATTTCATTTGATCTGTGTGAGGGCTGTGATACTTCCCGGGTGCCCAAACCGAAGCATGTGATTTTCTTAGTAGGCCACTCTCGGAGCCTTCGACCTGAAGGTCTGATCCACAAGGCAGTGAAGCGTCTTAAGGAGACGCAGTCCCATGGTAGCCGGCGACCAACGACTGGTTCATACGCCATTTGTTCCTTGAGAATACTAGAGCCCATGTGCACCATTGGTTTGGAATCAGGGTTTTCCAACTCCCCTAGGTGGACCCTGCATGTCCACCAACCCGGTTAAAGCGCCGGACAGTAATTGAAAACAATTACTTGATCTGCAGGTTATCATCTAGGTAAACACATACCACTAAGCTAATCAACTATTAATGAGGAAAATCAAGTTCAATAAGTTGGCAATATAATTTTGAACTAATTGACTGAAAGTTTTAATTTCATTTATCTTCCATTGAATACAGCAGCTAGGTATTATAGTCCGCTACTAAAGAGACTACTTGATTTTTAACTCGGATGTTCAATTAGAGTATGATCAACTTAATACGTCTATCATATTTCGGTTTCGTGATTTCTACCAAATGTAGTCGGTAATATAGGTTGTTGAATAGCTATGGCAAAATCAATCTGAACAGACAAAGGAGGGGATTACGAGGAGTTCGGAACATAAGTGGGAAACAATATTCAAAAGAGACAGTCGAGCGGGCTTCCTATTTTACTACTTTCTCCGTGGAAATTATAATGCTTCATTTCAAATCCACCGTCTTTGTTCCCCCCTTACTCGAAAACAATGTAACTAATGAGAACCAAGTACGAATGATTCTACACACAGGAAAAAGTACTCAAACTTGAAGAGAAATTACCTGGCAAAATTCTTTTGCGCCGAACTGTGCATCCACAACAAACACACAGGTTTCAGATATGAGTGCTAAAAACTGTCCACATTGAGAACATAACAACGAGCTAATGCCAGGTGATGGTGGAGGAGTTAGGAGTACGGGTAATTTTGGGTAGGATGAATCGTTTGTAACGCCACAGTCTTTTATAACAAGGACAAATAATTGGTTGATACGCTCATTTAGGAAAAATATTCTCAAATGTTCTATTTCTTGTATTATCAGAATACACTACTTACCAGAACAAGCTCCACTTTTGCAATACTGCGATACACAGGTAATCGTTTTTTCTAAGGCTGATTTGTAGTTACAATAAACTGACATGTCCAACAATGGCAAGATATCCTTGAGAACAGTAGTCAGAGCCATTTTCGTAACTGGCGCTTTATGTTTTCCTTGACGAAATTTTCAAATCTAATATATTTATCGCGAGCTGGCATAAATTGATTGATTTGTTTGAGACCGGTTTTTGTTGATTCGATACGGTTCCAGGTGTTTGGTAATATTCAGTGGGTCGTAGTCTAATATCTCGACTGTACCTGGATTCCACTGCTCGCTACCATGTATCTTTGTTTGCAATGCTTGTGACTTGAGGCAATATCGAGGCAAATATGTACAGTATGTACATATGCAAATAAGAGAATGATCAATTGCAGTTCTTAAAGTTAATGGGAAGATTCAAACAAACAAAACCAAGTGGATGTAAACCTCACCCCATTGCAGTAGCTAAGTGAATAACGAGATGGCGTTTGAAGTAAACGGTAATGGGTTTTTTGCCATTTCTCTTCCCAACACTTACTCCTCGCTCCTTGCTGTTAATAGATACTCGGGTATAAGCAACAGCCGGGAATTTCCTTAGTGTATAAGATCGATTTGTGGCTATCATAGTCGCGTGTCTAATTGAATTTGTGTTTGACGGTTTGGATATACTGGTTGAAATTGGTACGGCTGTTTCGAACAAAGTCTTATGCTTCCTTTTTTATTAGTTTTGTTGATAAGACTTCTCCACTCCATGAGAGAACGTATCAGAGTGACCTAACACAAATCTATAGTACTGCCTAGATGATCTTGCATCACAGCAACTGTGAATACAGTCACCACAGAAACTATACTCAAATGCTGGGTCTCTGTCCTAAACGAGCAAAGAGCAATCGATATATCGTTTTTTGTTGTTTCTCGTTAGTAGTCAGTGCTACGGGCAGTTAAGGGTGGCCTGCTTGAGCATTTGGGCTACCTGTTCCTACCATCTAGATATTTCAACAAGTTATCTATTTTTGTTTGTTTTAATGTATCGTTATGCCTATTAATCGCATAACTTATTCTGCTGCGTTTCTAAAAAGTGTACAACTTTTCGTTGTCAAAGTTACAAAAAACTCAATAAGAGACAATGTGGTTGCTGGCAATATACAGGGAAAATAATGCACATTATTCAGATGTTCATTTACTGGACTGTTAACATCTAACTGGCGATCACTCAATATTTATCGCCAGGACCGACCAAGAAGTTAGAAACGGAAATTTGTTGAAATACTTTACGCTGAAAATTCTATATTGTACCAAAAATGTAATATTGAATAAAGCTAATAATAATAATAATACTAGTCTTACTTGAAGTAGGAACCTGGGTGAGAGTTTGATCCTGGTTACTTAGCGGTTCAGTTTTGGTGTTTCAGTGGGGTGGTTCGAGTTTATGCACATTCCTCTGGAGTCCTTTATCTGGAGTTGTATTGAGCCTTCTTATAATCTTATTGTTAGGAACGGTCATATAAAAATCGACCTGTTATTAACTTTTGGGTTTATACCTTTGTCTCTGCCAGTTGTTCTTCTAAGTATAGTGAAACTGCTAGTCGAAATGCTATTACCATGCATGCCGCTTCATAGAAACTTAAAGAATTAGGCGAGACGAGAAGTCGAGATAAGTGAATATATGCCACACGTGAATAGAACTTGAAGGACATTTAAAACCTTAACGACACGTTCGCCCCATCCTTGAAACAACTTCGCGTTTATCCAGTAACTTCTCCGCATGCTAATTGTTTGGAATTAAACAGTCATATGCATGTCACAGTTGAGCCAACCACGAAGAAAGCAGCTGATTGAGACAGTCTTAAATTGCTTCGGAAGACTGCTATTCTAATAATATATTCCAACGTATTATTTTTTACACACCCTTTATCATCAGGGGATGACGAAGAGGAAGATAGAGAGGTATTTAATTGTAAAGATATCTCATAACGGTATTCTGATACTGAACCTTACAAGATATTACTTATCAACATCTATTTTAGACGTTCATGTTACGACAGGAGAAATTTACAAAAAGCCTTAATAAGGGGAGAGTCGCAACGCACTTGGGCATGGAAGTGTGTCACCATATTCTGGCTGGATCTGAGCCCGGAACATCTAACTCGGTGCAACCATAGTCCTGAATGAAGTAAAACTACAATTGACTAACTTCCTCTTTTTTATCGAAGCTTTTGGAGTCCTTTTCATCTTTTTTTGTATTATTATTACTTTTATTATTTTTTTTAGGTATCATAGGATCTTGAGTAGGCTTCGTATATTATGGAATTGTCTAGTTTGCATGTAATAGGATTACTGGGTAGGAAGTGAAACCAATTCAACGTTCGTAACACGATTTAATGAGGTATTTTGCATGATAAATCAGCATTAATACCTTAGGTTAGTGACACCCCACTAAACCATAAGGAGCCGTAATTAAACAAATTGTTCTGGCCTACAGACATAGGTGGATTGAAGTTATCTCCCCACCATCATGTTTGCTGGTCAGTAACGCCACCCTAATAAGAGTAACTCAAAAACGCCTTGTACGCTATGAAAAAGTTTATTTTAGTCTAATAGAATACATTTTAGTCCGTTAGCTCTGCATTCAAGCAGAATATTGGCATTTCGGTCGTTAAACTTGGACTATATTTCAAGAATTACTTTCTCGTTCTACGGACTTAAAACGGTAACAGTACTGTTGAATATATATCATGGTGATGACCCTGAGCGATTCTCTAGTTAATCGTAAAGCACAATAACAGTGGAATAATAGCTTCATTATCGTTAACTCACCTAAATTGTTTAACAAATCTTCATGGCAAATGTAAGTGGCTGAAATTATATACTAAGATGTCTTTTGGTTTACTAAATACTGTTATAATCCTATAGGGTTATCACCACCGAGCGATGTCAACTTTACTACTCTTTTGCTTACGAATATATGGGATTTGATGTTCAAAGTGAGAGTTGAGAGTCAGAGTCGGAGAATAATACCTAGATGTAGTAACCAACTTTGGATATGTGTTGAGTCGCATTAAATGCATTAACAAATACACTGTAAAAGGGCAGACAGTTCTCGTAATTTAGCTTCTGCACTATCTTGCATTCAATGTTTGGCTACCTAACACATGTGTTTTATAAATTTCAAGCATTTTGAGAGTATAACATAGGAAATGTTTACTTAGTTTTTAATAACATACAACTCATCACTGTGCTTTCAGTGAAACACAAAATTGATTTAACGCTATCTCAACTTTAAGTAGCTGGTATTTCAGAATTCATTGCAGAAGGTATAACGAACACTGTTAATTTACCGAAAAAGGGTATGGTTAACAGTCCGTGAGATTTAAGAGATTTTAATTGCACAACTAAAACATCGTTGTGGTAGACTCATAGTCTACTCTCTGGTTGAAGATGGTGTAGCGTGGCGTCGTGTGGAGATTTACTGTGAACACCGCTACCAAGAAGCTCGTTCCAAATGATTCCATAAAAACCCCGAGAAGCCAAATATCAGAAGGCAGAAAATGGACCAAGTCAAGATTTATTCACTGGCGATCTCGTGGTATCGAAAGGATACCGAGATCGTGCCAGGATATATGCTTGATTACAGAAGGTAACCGAATTCGCGCGAAGTTACAATCGAAGTGTAAGAACAAGAATGGAAGAACGACATAGCTGTCATCAGCACAGTCAAACAAAAGCACATTAAAACAAACACTGGTACAACTGTTTATAATAATAATTGTTTTTATTAAATCAGTCGTGTTCTCGTAATAAATGTGAGTCACTACAATGGAATTCAGTGTGACGAGTGCAATAAGTAATATCAAAGCGTGTGGACCAGACTCACAACAACAGCGTTTAACGTTTGCTGCAAGCCACTATCACGTTGAATGTTAAAGGCATGCTGCTACGAAGAGTTTCTGTTGGTTCTTGAGCTGCTAAACACGGCCAGAGAGGCGACTTCAGACAAAAAACCTGCAGCAAATTAGCAGCTATCGAACTTTAGTGAAGCGACGAGCATCATCATGAGTCCAGCTGTAGATCTGAATGAAGCCATCAAGGTGAACCACCATAACGTAGCAAATGACAAACAGATATTAAACATAGTTACAGAGACAAAAATTAACAAAAATAAAAAACAAATAACAGAGTTCCGAAATATGTGCGTTGACAGTCTCAACTACAGAACACAATTTCAACTTTGTAGAAGATTTGATCAAGAAACAAAATAAAGTTAATGATTGGCTCACAGTTAAGAGGGTCTTCCGTAAACGAACCACAGGCTAGATTTGAACTAGGTCTAAACTCAATAGGCAAGCTACTGCTGGAAACAGCATCAGGAGTTAGCATTTATATGCGTCACAGAACAGGACAACATTTGGACTCTAAAAGTGAATAGGCAAGTCGCCTCCAAAAGTTACTTTCGGTTCCGCTTGATGAAGTAACCCAGTACTAGAAAATCCACGGAAACTAACTGGATCTAGAATATATGTCCCTGAGAATCATAGTCTGATTGATCGTACCAAGAGACAGTCACTGGAGACAGAAACAAATGAGAACTACCGGAACCGTTAAAGGAACCTTCTACTTGAGGGTTTTCACATTGTAAACGTTCAGTGCAAAACGATGGCTAAGCTACTCCGGGTAGTACGAGAAAACATTCCTCAGAATTAAAGGTATTATATACAAGTTCTGTCAGCCTACTAAATAAATTCACGGAGCTCAAAAACGTGACTAATACAGAAAAGCCTAATGTTATTCCCATCTTAGAAACATGACTAACGTCAAAGGTTTTTAAGAGTTCAGCTGCCTGGTTTCTTACTTTGTTGGGCTTACAGACCCAACCGTAAAGGTGGTGGAGCTATCCTGTACTTAATAAACACTTTAACCATACGCGCTGTAGAGACTGTATCACACGACTCGGAGACATGTGAGCTAGCGTGGTGCCATTTGAAGTGCATAAGACAAGAGTTCGAATTAGCTGTGGCATGCCGCAGTCCAGGATAAGTAATTGATGACTCGTTCCTAAATAAACTTAAATACTGGTTAAACAGGTGTAAAAGTCTCGTAGTGGTTAACTT